CCTTTCCTAACGACCTCTGTGAAAATTTTGACATTTTTTTATACACAAAATTGACAATATTTATCAATCTTTTTCTTCCTTTGATCCTCCAGAACGCTCTGCCTCTCAGATACTCTAACCACTCTCTAACCTTACACTCACCAGTACATCTGTGGTTGAACAGCTGATTATTAACTATAACTCTATAGTTAACTCTATAACTATAACCTGTCGGATAGATCCAATATTAACACACCTGCTCAAAAACGTTCTGCCTCCCTGCTGTCTCTTCACTCCAGACCTTTAATACTGATCTTAAAACTCACTTATTTACAATATGTTTTGTGAAATAATTGTAGCAGACTGCCTCAATTTTCAGTTCTATGCTTGCTTTCGTTACTTATCTTGGATTATGATCTCTGTCTGCTCTGTTTGCTTGATTATGTGACTGTTTATCTGTTGTTCATGTTGTCTATAAACTTAATGCAAAGCGTCCTTGGGTTCTTGAAATGCGTTATATAAATAAACCATTATTATTATTATTATTCAGTTATAGAGATATTTGAAGGATCATTTGGTGATCAGCATGGAGAACTGTATCTTTCCCAAAAGGATAATTTCTCAAAATGACTTACAAAATAGAAACCACGAGTTCCTGCAAGAGCTCTAAAGACTCTCAACAGCAGTATCTTTTCATCTGCATGATGTAGAGCTGCACACATTCAGAAATCAGCTGTAAAGGAGCTCTAACTAAGAGTGAACTTCTGACTCACGACAGGTAGGGATAGAAAACAGTCCCATCACTCCATTCCCAGTTCCCCTCGGACGCCACATCATTCAGTCCGATCCAGAAGATGGAGGAGCTGATCTGTGTCCGGACCCACGTCTGAACAGAACACAGACAGAAGAGATGTTAGATGTTAGATGTGATCTATTTCTGACCGTTGCTGTGGTGGTGTGCGTCTCACCCGCTCGTGAATGTCCTGGATGCTCATCAGATTACTTGCTTTACTGACACAGTCCTCCAGAGCGTCGTGCCACGACTTCATATCAGAGGAGAAGAAGTAGCATCTCTCGTCATACGACCGCCAGCCCTCCTCACACTGACTGAAGCCTTGGAGAAAACAGTGTGCTTATTGTTCTCATATTAATCACAAACCACACGAGGACAAAAATTAAAAAGAGAACAATAAGAGAAACTATTCTACAGGGTCATTGCATGTACAGACAGAACTTGGGTAATAAATTCATTAAACAGTTTTTCTAAGACAAATTGTGTTTTATTCTATTCTGCTAAAATCAGAGAGAAAATTTCTGCTTGCAAAAGACAATTGTTTAATTCTCCATCATAAAAAAGCCTCGTGACTGAGATGTAAAGCTTGTCATATGCACTGCTAATGTTTTACTGGAAACGGTGTCATAAACAATTATGGTTCGAATCAAATCCTGTAGAAGAATCACCATTTTATCCATTTCCCTCGATTGTAAAGTCTACAAAGTCAAATGACTGCAGTAAAGACACGGAGCACACATATGGCACACGTTTGTTTCCCACTGCTTTTTAAAACTGCCAGCATTAGTTCACGCCTATAACGCCTGCTTAATTTTGTTAAATGATTTACAATTTTATGCTAGATGTCACATGGAATTTAAAAAAGTATTTACACATCTTTACGTTCATGAAAATGGCCAAACATCTCATAATATATTTAGTTTGATCAACATTGTCAGAAGGTTAAATACATCTTTCCATTTAGCTTGTATTTTAAACTGGGGAAAAAATACAAGTTTCAGACCATATTTTGAATCCTATTCACAGAGTGCCACACACAGAGTCATAATACATACAGAAATACGTTTTATATATCAAATATAAAATACTTATTTGTTTTGTTATAGAGTTTAGCAATATTGTTAAACACAATTTCAGCAATGATTTATTAGTGTAAGTCTCTATGATTCTGACGGACTCCTGGAAACTTGCGCTGATCTAAATCGTACTGAATTACACAACTGATCCTGGATGAAACTGCCAGGAAGAAACATTCATGATTAAAAAAGAATGAAGCTTTTGCCATTTCTACAAAGTGGTTCTTCAATTAAATGTGTTATTCTATTCAATTTACTATGAAAATGAGTGAACTTACCAGAATGAATGAGGCCAATGAGGGTGAAGGCTAACACAAACATTATAAATGTATGTATTGTTTTTAGTCTGAAACAGCATTACATGGGTTTATTCTTCTGTCATCCACACGCCTGTCCTCTGGAGATCTGCTCATCATCACACACCGAAGGCTCTTTTACCCTCATCAGAGTCCAAAGATTAAACAGTAAAACATACATGATCATCTGATGCTGTGACACACGTTAAAGTCCAACATATTCAATTTACATCAAATTCCTTCTGCATGGAGAGACAAAAACATGTGACATGTTCTGAAGAATATGGTCACAAAATAGTACATTTGCATGCGAGTGATTCTAGGTGCTTTGCTGTGAAACATGTCTTTCTTTAAACATTAATTAGTTTAATAAATGTACTGGGCACACTCAGTTAAGAGTGACTTTAAACATAAAAAAAATAATTTTCCTTTAACAAGAGCTTGACTGACATGTTTTTAAATAAAACACTTTTACCAAAAACATTTCATTCTGCACATATCACCATCATATGCATTTCAGATGTTCTCTGTATCAGGTCAAAAGTGTCCAGAGATGCGAGATTTTCCTCCATCATAAAATCTCTGATTTGATTTCTTGATTGCTCTGGTCAGTAAACGGAAGGCCTCTGGTACGAGAGCATCACAGAACTGAGCAAATATGAACATGGTTGCAATATCAGATCATTTCTTTGATATAAAATATTTATTTCAAAGCACATGAAAGGAACCAGAACCCTTTAGACACAGATTGTCCCCTTTTATTTGTATAGCGCTTTATACAATACTGATCGTGTCAAAGCAGCTTTACAGTATTAAACAGTTTGTTTTTTTCCTGATGTAGGCAGATTATATTGAACCCTGACGTAAAGTGCAGAACCCAATGCACAGATGTTCACGCTGATGGCAGAACTGGATACAGATGTAGAATAAAGTCTTTCTGTACATTTTTTTGTCAATTCTGTTTCTTTTGTCATTCTAATAAAATTCAAATTTCAAAGTCCAAAGAGGTTGCTTCAAAACCCTTGTGACAGCACATGTTTTAGGACAATATAGTTTGAATAAAATCTTTTACCTTTGTGTTACACTTTAACCTTTTTTATAGCTACCAAATTGACAGTAAACAATAAAAATGCAGCAAATACCAATTACTCAATGCATCCATTAAACTGCACACATGGGTTGATGTTAGATAATCGGGTTAATATTGCAGGGCAGATTGTTGTAATATATACACCAGATTATTCTATTCACATTCAAACAAATGGAAATCTCATGAAACGTATTACTAGCCCATTTCTTTCAAAGCCGGGGTTTTAAAGACAGAAAACAGAAAAGGGAACTTTGCTTTGTTGTTTTATTCAATTGTTACAAAGGTTAAAACAAGGTCACAAAAGGAAAAACTGAAGGAAATAAATAAACAGATATTGAGCAAAACACTAAAATGTACACATGGGAATATATGCTAAAAACGGTCATTCTTCAGACAGATCAACTTTGTTTGTTCAGCAGGTACAGAAATGCAGCTACAACTGAAAGTCATTCTGTCCTTCGGTGGACAGAATAAAGTTGCACAAATATTAAATAAATCGCTATATGAATATATTTATTGTTGTTTCACATCACTGAATGCAACATGTTAACATCTGTGACACCAGTATAATGTAAAACACATTCCAACAGCAGATCTCAAATATAATCAGATGTTTCTAAAGTTACTGGAGTCCAACCAATAATTACTGAATAAAAGCAACAATATGAACTGTTTTCCAAATCTAAGAAAAAAGATGCATTACATAAAATAAATATTTTATATTCAGAATTCAAAGTCATTTTAAAATAAGACTCAAGTCACACTGGAAAACAAAAACACACCAAAGTGTAGCAATAGCATTTTTTCTATAAAAAAAATCTGTATTCCCTCAGTGTATAATGGATCTGTTTCAAAATGTAATCATATTTTTTTTTCACTTTGAACTAAATCATGTAAAACAGTAAATGCAATTAAATCAAGCCAGAAAAGCTTTACATTTGTAATACACAACAGTAACATGTACAAGCATCTCTGAGCTTCTCTCAGCTCATGTTTGGCAGTGAAAAGCAGAACAGAAGCACAATCCTTGATCACATATCATCGCTCTAGACTGTTCTGCACAAATCTAAACCTAGAACCAGTCTAGATCCTATGCAGGGTTCCATTAAGACAGTCTTACTGAAGTCATAAATGAGACGTGGCTCACAACAGAAGAATCACTCTCATTTCATCACGTTAGAAATGACTCTGCTAGTGCTCATGAATCTCTCATTTTGTCCTGACTGTGATTGTACGCATGCAAACAAACATTCGGCTACAGAACAATCTCTTTTTGATCGTTCTGTGTCCTGAAGTCACAAAATAGTGGTTTTTAAGCTTGTGCATTTATAAGTATCTGATGTCACTCTGCCTTTCAAACACAAGAATGATTTACTGAACTCATGTCATGGATATTCAGAGTAGGGGTCGACCGATTATCGGCGCCGATATTAAGCATTTTTATGATTATCGGTATCGGTCATTTTCAAATCCGATTCGCCGATAAAATAACTTAATTTTGAAACGCGCTATTTGGCTCTGATGCAGCATGTCAGAACTCAGCACTCTGTGGCCTAAAGCAGTCTCCGCTCATCTGATTTGTTGGGAGTCATGAGTCCGACCAATCAATGCAGAATTCATGCTCACTCCAAAAGCCTTGCTAACTGGAGCTGCTTCAGTGATCACGCATCAGTTGTCTCTCAAAGGTAAGGCAGCAGCAGACTTGCTTAAGTTGCAATAGATCCCAATCCACTAACGTTACGTATCGGTCGACCCCTAATTCAGAGGACTGAACATCAATACTGATTTCTGAGCACTATAGTCTAGTTTACTGAAGATTTCTTATTGTCTAAGAGAGAAATTACTTTCAGCAGTTCAGGCAGCAGAAATCAGTACAAACATCAGACACAGTGATCATGTGATCTCACAGATAGAAAAAAACACTTTCCACTAACAAAATTAGAGCAAAAACATAATAAACTTCTCTTGACACGTAGTACACAAAAGAGTTGAATAAACACAACAGACTCCTGATCCAGAGCCACATCACGGCTGAATGCAGGTGTTCGGAGCGTATTTAGGCTGAAGCGTTAGTGTTGAAGTGTGTCAAACTATGACAAAGTGGCTACATACAGTCAGCGACGTTACTGGAGCCCTGGCCGACATCTCGAATCTGACTGATGTGAGAGGAACAGACGGCGACTCCGGCCCCGGCCCGACAGTGAGACACAGAGCCCACAAGCTCCCATCTGGTTCACACACACACACACACACACTAATGCTATCTGAATGAAATCACAACCAGTCCTCTTCAGAACACTCCAGCTTTATATCTCACCTGTTCATCCGGGGCTCGAAGGCCTCCACCGTATTCAGGTAGATGTTTCCATTGTGCCCCCCCACTGCAAAGACACGCCCCATCACCGTGGCAACTCCGACTCCGCCCCTGGGCGTGGTCAACTCCGCCACATACTCCCAGTGATTGGTTCTGGGGTCGAAGCGCTCCACTGAGCTCAGCGGAGAATTATCATCAAACCCGCCTTCAGACAAACACAAGCACATGAAGCTCACAGATATCACTCCAGCAGAGCGTAGCTGAGCCTGTTTTCACATGAAGTCTAAAATTATGAAGATGAACAAATTCTGAATGGTTACCAACAACGTAGAGGCATCCGTTGAGTTCGCTGACACCGTTTCCAGCGCGCCGCTGCCCCATCTCTCGCACATCTGTCCATTTGTTCAGATGAGGGTCGAAGCGCTCCACGCTGGACAGCGATGCAACGCCGTCATTCCCCCCGACCGCGTACACATAGCCCTGAAGAAGACATCAGATCAACACGATCAAACCCGTGACACTCATGAACAGAATCATTTACCCTCTCAAAACAATAGAATACAATAGAAGTGAAAGCTTGGCCAGGCTGGTGAATACTGTGTACAATAGCTTAAAATAACATGTTCTGATCAATGAATCTCTTATTTACATGGTATTTACACGTTGTTAGTTATAACGACAGGATTCACCAGTGTGTAAAAGAGTTTATTCTCTTTTTGATTTTTTTTATTTATACCTCATGATGATTCATTATATCTACTTAACTGAACACATGACGTTAACTGGCCACATAAGCTGTAATATATCATTTAGCTGTATACTCCGTCATATGGATATTCCTCTGACACACTTCTCTCTCACAAGTAACAGATTACTTTCTGATTGTCCCACTGAATACACACATTCTGCGAAGCTTCTTTGAAACAATTTGTTGAACGATTGGTATTGAGTGGATTCTGACTAACTTAAACCCTTCTGATTGGTCACTGAGTTTGGCACTCGGCAGACATGTCTGTGATTGGCTGTTCTAAACAAAATCTTCACAGATTGCACAAAGCTTGGAAACCTTTGAAAGCAGCACCTATCAGCTGTCATAATGAGTGAAACTGGCTTATTGTCTTTATAAGTTCTTTTAACATTAATGCCATATTCATGATACTTCCAAATTTTATATTATCAGCAAAGATATCTGATGGCCAGTCCTAGTGTAGAATCATGTGTAAGTGGCTCTGTGGGCCTTTCGTACCCCGAGCGCCACAGATCCCACGCCTCCTCTGGGTGTGTTCATAGGAGCCACGGCGCTCCAGCGGTCCGACTCGATGTCATAGCGCTCCACATCACTGAAGCAGGAGTTATCATCCAGACCACCGATAGCGTAGATGGGTCCGCCGAGAGCAGCCAGCGCAATCCCCCTCCTGACAAACACAAACACAAACACAGGACAACCTCTCATTCTGTCTGCATGCTCAGCTGTCTTCTGTGTCAATACATACAATAGCTTTATTTTGCTGGACATGTGCATGGACAGATAACTCTTTAATCCCATGAGAATTCAATTATAACTATAAATATTAATAAAACAACAATGAATTACAACTATAAACTATGAAAAGTATTAGAGCAGAACATCAGGTCAAGGAAAGTTTGCTGTTTGTCATACCGTTTTGTGCTCATGGAGGCTTTCATCATCCATTTGTTGGTGTGTGGATCAAACATCTCCATGTTCCCGAGGTGCTCGTTGCCATCATGGCCTCCAACAGCATACACTTTCCCTGTAAAATGATGAATGTGAAGTTTAATTAGTATGTTTGAGTCATTTATTGTAAGCAGGAGGTTCCAGTATTCACTGTAGCTTTTACTTGTGTACTACTTTGTCCCACACTGACTAAAAATCTAATAAAACACAATTTGATCAGTTTTCTAACAGTATTAATTATTTAACCAGAATTGGGTTAGGGATGTTCGCTGTTGACAAAAATCAACACCCTGATATTTTCTTGAGTTTAGTCTATATGAATAGTCCATATTTGTACTGTATTATTTGTAAAACTCTTATATTGTACTAGTTCACTCTCATTAATATGAATTGATATCAATTGAAACAACATGTTTAAAGAAAAGAGGTTATTTATTCACTGTAATAAAACATATAATTAAACAACACTGATATTGAAGTCTCAACATCTAGCTTTTATTACAGCAGAAAACAGTGATGAACAATCCTCATTACAAATTTGGGAAGACGGTAGACAAGCGTTTTCAAATGCCTGTTATAAGTGTTTCGACTTTATGGTGAAAGTTGAATTAGCAGTCTGTGTGAAATGCGTGAGGCTTTACGCGTCTCTCTCATTCTGCAGCAGTACAAATATGTGCGGTGTTGCGCATGTTTAGCTTGCTTCATGAGTGTTTTGCATTATATGAGTCACTTTGGAATATAAGTCGCAGCATGTTTCAGATGAAAAAAAAAAGTGACATATTACTCAAAATATGTTCTTTATAGTACAAGATTTATATATAACGAGTCGTTCCCTGCATTATTACAGCAAACCGTCTGGTGATTACAGTACTGAGCCGCTGCAATGGAGCAGCTCTAATGCTATCAAATTAAAGATGGTGTACCATAGAGCAAAAAAACGAACAGTGAAAGTAACAAAAACGTGTAAAAAAAACATTTTAATGGGCATAATTAAGTGTGAAATTAAGTGTGAAAATAACTGAAGGAAATATTTGTTTGCTAAATGAACTAAGCCAACTAATTTTTAACATATTCTTTTGGATTCTGTAACCAATATTTTTTTAAATTACAAATGCAATGAAAATACAGGTATTGGTACTCGGTATCGGCCTAGTTCTGGAAAAAGTGGTATCAGTGCATCCCTACTTTAAAACACTAGTAAAGTAAAAGTAAAAGTGTTTTTTAACCCTTCTGTAATTCTCCTTAAAGGGGTCATATGATGCGATTTCAGTTTTTCCTTTCTCTTTGGAGTGTTACAAGCTCTTGGTGCATAAAGAAGATCTGTAAAGTTGCAAAGACTAAAGTCTCAAATCCAAAGAGATATTCTTTATAAAAGTTAGGAGTCAACCACACCTACCTAAAACGCCTCGTTCTAACACGCCCCACATATCTACATCACTATGTGGGAAGATTTGCATAACACCGCCCAAATGTTCACGCAAAGAAAGAAGATGTAACTTTTATTCTCGCTGTAGTATTGTTGACGCTGCTTCTGTAATTCTCCTTAAATCATTGTTTTATTTGCTTTTCATATCTCTTTCTCACCTGCTACTGAAATCACTCCCACGTGTCTGCGTCTGCTGTTCATTTCAGGGCCGAAGAACCAGCTGTTTTTACTGATGGAGTAACACTCGATACTGCGGAAGGGGTCCCCGGATCCGCCCCGTCCCCCGACGCAGAACAACACACCTGTCAGAGAGCTCATTTAAAGACAGCAGAAGAACACAAGAGTGCAAGAGCAATCACGGCTGTATCTGCTGACCTGCGGTGTGCTTGCGGGGAGTCGTACGGATCGAATACTCAAAGTCAGGAACGCTCTTGTTACTAAGATGCAGATGATAATTCCGAGCTTCGTCCAGAAGGTCTCTGCAGCTCAAATTGGCCTTGATCATCTCCTCTTTAGCAACAGTGGCTGTGAGGAAATCCACCGGCAGCAGAGGAAGACGCACCTGTGTGAGAAAAGCCCATCAGAACAGCATTTTAATACATTTGCTGACAACAAGAGCTTCAAAGGATCCAAGCCCGTTTCTGAAATGTGATGTTGGATCTGTACAGTGCCACCTCTGGCCACAAACTGAAGCTGGATCCTACAGCGTACTTCAGAACTTGACCATGTTTCCACAAGTCCAGCCTGGACTTCATGGCAAATGTGTTTTGGTGTCTAGGACCAAGCAGAACCTGGCAGGATATTTCATCAGGCAAATTTCCTCACATGAGAGGTCATGTTCTCTTACTTACTACAAGAGCCTCCCCACTCTCATCCAGAGTGAGTAAAAGGGCTGGTAAAACCACTCTGGACCCCTCACACCCAGAACACTTCTTCTCTGAACTGCTGCGGTCCGGTCGGAGCACTGAGCACCAGAGCGGCCAGGCATAAGAACAGTCTCTTCCCTCTTCAATCCAGCTCATGAACACTTAACTTGGCAGTAAACGTACACAACACTATTTATACATTTATTTATTTATTGTATATTGTTATTTCCTATTTACATATTCCATTTTTATTCTTTCTATTATCTGTGTCTTGTCACTGTCATTCTGCTTATGCTGTGGAAGCTTCTGTCACCAAAACAAACTCCTCGTATGTGTAAACATAGGCTACCTGGCAAAAAAGCTCTTTCTAATTATGATACTAAAAAGTGCTTGTAAAAATGATCCCCAACAAACTTTCCATCCCAGCCCTGAGCAGCTAACCTGAGACATGATCTGATCCAGCCAGACGTCATGGTGCTTCAGGTTGGCTTTGAGCCATTTGACGGCGGCGTTGTACACTTGAGTCTCAGACTGAATGTTCAGATCACCGGAGGCCAGCAGCGTCTTGAGGTGCTGCGGCGAGACGCAGATGAAGTCCTCACACTCCACCACTTCTCTGAAATGCTCGCAGGCATAGCGGTCAGCCATGTCCATCAGCTTCTCTGAACTGCTGCGGTCCGGTCGGAGCACTGAGCACCAGAGCGGCCAGGCATAAGAACAGTCTCTTCCCTCTTCAATCCAGCTCATGAACACTTAACTTGGCAGTAAACATGTACACAACACTATTTATACATTTATTTATTTGTTGTATATTGTTATTTCCTATTTACATATTCCATTTTTATTCTTTCTATTATCTGTGTCTTGTCACTGTCATTCTGCTTATGCTGTGGAAGCTTCTGTCACCAAAACAAACTCCTCGTATGTGTAAACATAGGCTACCTGGCAAAAAAGCTCTTTCTAATTATGATACTAAAAAGTGCGTGTAAAAATGATCCCCAAAAAACTTTCCATCCCAGCCTTGAGCAGCTAACCTGAGACATGATCTGATCCAGCCAGACGTCATGGTGCTTCAGGTTGGCTTTGAGCCATTTGACGGCGGCGTTGTACACTTGAGTCTCAGACTGAATGTTCAGATCACCGGAGGCCAGCAGCGTCTTGAGGTGCTGCGGCGAGACGCAGATGAAGTCCTCACACTCCACCACTTCTCTGAAATGCTCGCAGGCATAGCGGTCAGCCATGTCCATCAGGTCCACCCTGTTGTGACTCTCTGCGAAGGTGCGGACGGCCAGACAGTTGGAGGGGTGGAAGTGAGCTTTCATGTATTCACTGTCATTTTATGCTGTGGAAGCTTCTGTCACCAAAACAAACTCCTCGTATGTGTAAACATAGGCTACCTGGCAAAAAAGCTCTTTCTAATTATGATACTAAAAAGTGCGTGTAAAAATGATCCCCAAAAAACTTTCCTTCCCAGCCTTGAGCAGCTAACCTGAGACATGATCTGATCCAGCCAGACGTCATGGTGCTTCAGGTTGGCTTTGAGCCATTTGACGGCGGCGTTGTACACTTGAGTCTCAGACTGAATGTTCAGATCACCGGAGGCCAGCAGCGTCTTGAGGTGCTGCGGCGAGACGCAGATGAAGTCCTCACACTCCACCACTTCTCTGAAATGCTCGCAGGCGTAGCGGTCAGCCATGTCCATCAGGTCCACCCTGTTGTGACTCTCTGCGAAGGTGCGGACGGCCAGACAGTTGGAGGGGTGGAAGTGAGCTTTCATGTATTCACAGCAGGCCCGAGCGATCAGCTCCACCTGCAGGATACACGCCGCGTACAGCAGCGGCTGAACGTTATCCACCGTCAGCGTCAGCCGCGAGGAGTACGCGAAACACACCAGGTCCTGGATGGCATCTGCGTCGAAATCTCGTATCTCAATCAAGTCCTGATTGGCCTCGGCCATATCTGAGAGGAACATGGCACGAAAATACGGCACCACGCAGGCCAGAACCAGTTTGTGACATGGTATCAGTCTGTTTCCGACCTTGAGTGAAAAACAAAAGAGAGAGAATTAGAAACAGAAGAAGCTGCTGTGTGTCTATATTCACTGCATCAGATACCTTCAGAGTGACATCACACAGCTCTCCGTTCTCGTAAAACTGTCTGAGGGAGTTGTGGAAATCCTTCCAGGCCTCTTTAGCCTCAAACACATACGATCCGTCCACGTCGCCCTCGCTATTAGACTGCGACGAGTGTTTCTGCTGCTTCCCATGTTCTGGCACCATGTCTCGTTCACACATGCCGACACCTGCACACACACACACACACACATTCAAGAGTAAGGCAATCTGAGTATAGAGCGGTATAGAGCAGACTCTGAACACATAATACTCAAATAGAACAAAATACATCTCAAACGAGAAGACGGTTAAATCCCATGATTGACATGCTGTTCGCTGTCTCTGTTAAATGGCTCTTCTGAATGGACTCTGTGTTTGCAGACACGGTCCTCCACACACACACTCACACACATGGTCCACACACACACGGTCCTCCACACACACACACATGGTCCACACACACACTCACAGACACGGTCCTCCACACACACATGGTCCACACACACACTCACAGACACGGTCCTCCACACACACACACACACACACACACTCACACACATGGTCCACACACACACGGTCCTCCACACACACACACATGGTCCACACACACACTCACAGACACGGTCCTCCACACACACACACACACAGCATCTTTGTTCCAGAGTCACAGTGCAGTTATTCTTTATACTGAGAAACAGACTCTTTTAACACTGTGACTCAACTAGATCATAACAATCATAAACATATTCATCTGAGAATCACTGCTCACATGATATGAAAATAACTGTAAGAAACATTTCAAGTACTATAAAGATTTTATGGCGTCATTTTATACATTGAAAGCTGGGATTGGATCATATATGACAAACTACACTTTATTCCTTCAAAAACACTACACGAAGAGATATACAGATATATAAATATTTGAAATAAATGAGATAATCACTGGCCAAGACATTGCATGCTAAGTTATCAGTTAATGAACCATTTTATGTTGTTTTTATTGTACAAGTAACCGCTTCAAAGCTGTTAGTCAATTTTCGTTAATGAACTGCATTAAAGACCTATTTATTTTAACACTGTTTGTTTTCTGTACTATAAATTATGTGTAATTGTTTAAACAACCAAAACATGACAGCATGAGCTAAAACGTCAACACAACAAACGGGACGGATTCACGAGCAGGAAATATCAGAGATGAACCTTACTGATAAGGCAATCTGAGTATAGAGCGGACTCTGAACACATAATACTCAAATAGAACAAAATACATCTCAAACGAGAAGATGGTTAAATCCCATGATTGACATGCTGTTCGCTGTCTCTGTTAAATGGCTCTTCTGAATGGACTCTGTGTTTGCAGACACGGTCCTCCACACACACACTCACACACATGGTCCACACACACACGGTCCTCCACACACACACACATGGTCCACACACACACTCACAGACACGGTCCTCCACACACACATGGTCCACACACACACTCACAGACAT